TCTCTACCTCCCTGTGTCGTCGTCGACAGTCTACAGTCTAACAAAACCACAGTTTATCTATACAAAACACTGTAATTTGAAACAAAGAACCAAACATCAACAAATGCAAAATAAAGGAAGCTAGCTTAATTAAACAAAGCAGTCCTTTTCTAAATCAACACATCAGGGTACCAAGATACATTTACTAAGCTGTTAAGCAATCTCTGATCATGTGACCTCTTTGTTCCATACTGTATCTACATATTCCCATTAAGAAGTTAGAACACAGAATCACATACAAAAGTTATAATGGTTTTCAAATGAGACCAAAACTATACATATATTCCCATGTCTTTGTAAACTACTTGTACCTGATGATGACATAAGCTTGTCAAAAAATTGTAGGTTTGTAATAAATTTTATTTCGCTATGTCTCCAAACTTTATTTTCTAAATAGGGGGTTCCTCATCAAAAAATTTTAATTCATCATGGCAATTACTCAAGGTTGTGTAAGTCTAAATATTTGTCTTTGTTAACCTACATACATCTTTCTAGTATATTCCTTCACTTGTCTGCCATCATAAGTCTATCATACTGTGCAACTATCTCTAAACTTCATAACATGGATATAAAAATCCTCAAAATGAGAAATGATATTTCCTTCTTAAGACAATGCCGCTATGAAAAGTTAATTCCCAACTCTGTAAAAGTCACTTTATCCAAAATCCTAAACCAGTTTACAGGCATTATCCAAAACATGCAACAAAAACTTCTAAAAGTTACCCTGAATTCCAAATATCAAGAACTACTTACTAAAATGTAAACAGGAATTAGACCACCAACTTGTCTGCTAGCTCAAAGCAGATGAGTAAAGCAATATACAATATACCATCAACCAAAGAAACTGTGTTGAATCAAGAGAAGAAATCTATATACAGAAAAAACTTGAACAACTGAGAAAATTGTAACAATATGAAAGATGATACAACAATGAAGCACAACCTAATCTTGTTATCAACAGATCAGATTGACCACTAAGCAACACTGAACTACAACTTCTGAACAAAGGCCTCAACTTTGCTGTCAGCCACAAGACAGTTCCCTGCCTAGAAGATTTATCCAGAATATAATGATTCACTACATAAAAGAACAAATGGCAACAGTATCCAAATGCAAAAGGAAATCCAAAACTCTAGTCACCAGACTTTTATGATAGTTAATTATAACAAAATGTGGTTTCCTGAAGTTCCCAAAAACTGTAATTTAAATTTTTTAAAGAATTCTTTAACAACACCATTAATGTAGTCAACCAAATCCATAAACTGAAGACCAATCTTACAAGCAACGAGATGAAATGTATCTATAATCTGAAAAGCAACACTAACATTAAAATTATAAAAGCTGACAAAGCAACACTACTCTAATCATGAACAACCCAGAATACATTGACAAAATGAATGACATCCTTCCATATACGAAATTTAAACCCATCCCAAAGAACCCAATAAATAAATGCACATGAGAAGCAATTGAACAGAACCCTGTCATAATTGAATAAAGATAATTTAATTACTAAAGATTTTTATTTTTATCTAAGAAAAATTGACTCACACACCACAAATCTATGGCATTCCTAAACCACACAAACAGGATTGCCCCATATGACCTATACTATCCACTTATGACTTGTTTAACTATAATCATGGCAGATACATAGCCTGGGCTCTCACACCTTATATAACTTCTAAAGGTTCCTTTTTTAAAGATGTCTTTAATTTTAGAAACACATTAAACCAACTAAACCCTAAAGCCTTAATGGCTAGCTTTGATGTTATGTCACTTTACACCAAAGTTCTATTCAAAGAAGCTTGTAATGTTGCACTTGACCTCATCCACAATGATCCCAATATTTAGTTCACATCACATCCCCAGTACACTTTTTGTTTCCGTCTTAGAATTTAAAACAACAAAAATTAACTTCATTTTCAATAAGAAAAACTGTCTTCAAATAGATGGTTTAAGCATGGGCAACCCTGTTCCACCTGATCTATTCAACATATTTATGACCCAGATTGAAACACAAGCCATACAATCTGCACTTTATCCTCTCTTATATTGGTACAGATATGTCAATTATACTTTTGTTGGTTTCATTTCTACTGACCCCACAAACTCCATTCATCTGAACATTAAGGTCATCATTGAACATGAAAATAACAGTTATCTTTTCTTGACCTTGACATTATTAGATCGGACACACAGTTCAAAACCAAAATTTCCATGAAAAATCATTCACACAGGCCTCTACATCCCCTAGATTTCCACCCATGAATCCAAACAAAAAATCAACATACTTAAAAAAACTTTATAAACACAGCTTCAAGACTTTGCTCAACTGACTATGTAGATGAAGAAATAAACTTTATAAAGCAATCCTTCATTCATGCCAACAAATTTCCACCAACTATTGTTAAAAATTTTTCACACAATGACCAGAACAAAAACCTCAAAACTCAACTTACAAACTTGACACAAATATATGAAACAACAACATACCATGCACTGCAGTTTACCATTAATCCCTGAAATCAGTTCAAAAATAATTCACACTTGAAGAAAACTATACTCTTAAACATAAAATTCCTGTTAACTTCAAGTTCATCCAAAAACCAGGCCTTAACTTAAAATCATTATTAAATAACAATTATGTTCAATCACACAATACCAACATTGTTTATAAAATAATGTGCAATAACTGTCCAGAATTCTGCATTGGAGAAAGCGGAATAAAATTGGAAATGAGATTCACTATAGATAATTAAAAACCCTCCCATGTTTACCACCACTGCAACTCAAAAACCACAAAAATCACACAATATCAACATTGTTTATAAAATAATGTGCAATAACTGTCCAGAATTCTGCATTGGAGAAAGCGGAATAAAATTGGAAATGAGATTCACTATAGATAATTAAAAACCCTCCCATGTTTACCACCACTGCAACTCAAAAACCACAGTTTATCTATACAAAACACTGTAATCTTAAATAAAGAACCAAACATTGACAAATGCAAAATCAAGGAAGCCATCTTAATTAAACAAAGCAGTCCTACTGTAAATCAACACATCAGGGTACCAAGATACATTTACTAAGCTGTTAAGCAATCTCTGATCATGTGACCTCTTTGTTCCATACTGTAAACATACATTTCTGTATCTATATAAACTATTTGTACCCGATGATAATGTGTCATAAAGTTTCTTTCACTATCCGTTCAAGCCATCTCCAAACTTTACAATCCATACTCCGTATGTGCAGACCTCTACAATGGATAATCTGGCAACATACATTGCAACTAAAGAAAAAGTAGGTACCAAGCAATAAATAGTTTTTTTTGTAGATTTTTCTCATGAGTAATATTATCAAGATTATGGAAACTATATAGACACATCAAATTGGGCACATTTAATTTAGACATGCCATTAAACAGCCAATTATTTGAGAAATCTATAGGCTTGCCATAAAACCAAAAATTACTTCTCACATCACTTTATTTACTCTACAATGACATTACTATCCTATAATCTGCTATGTTCAATGATATTTAAACTTTGCCTTTAAAAACTGAGATTCATTTGTATATATTTTTTTTGTTAGAAGCTATGTAAATCAAAAGGGGTAGGGCATAGGCTGTTCTAATAAAATCTGTGAAAGAGAAGAAAAAATAATGTGAGAAACCAACACTGATAATCACATTCTCAATGGAAGGTAAATTCTTTAGCAAATAAAAACCTATGCTTTGGGATGGGCAAAAAACATGTAAAAAATCTATGTATGTGTCGTTACAGGCAAGTAGTCTCTTCCAAGTTGTGCAGAAGTGTAAGGTTGAATATTTAAAAAAATTTTCTTTGTAAATTACACCAAATAAATGCTACAAAAAGACAAAATATCAAATTCAAATAATTTTTGAGTTAAAAAATTTTCAAAATTTGATATGCAGGTGCGCGCTCGGCACCTGAAATGTGTAAACTAGTCTAAAAAAAGTTATAAGTACCTGAATGTTTTCAGAAGGTAAATCATTTTAGTTCATCAGAAATAAACTCAGAAAATCACCAATTCAACAATAATGAAGGAAGGTCTACCTTTCCTTGGGCTGCTTTAATTTTAATTTACACGATTAATTTTGTTAATAATAAACACTCTTATTTAACACCAGACTACAAAGGACTGAACACCTCACAGAAAAAGTAATACATAAAACTTTGGAGTTCTACCAAAATAAGGATATTTTTGTTGAGTAAGATGAAACTGATGTTTTCAAAATGACAGATTTCAGTATGAATAACAGTTTAAAGATGGGCTTTGTAAAAAAAAGTGTAACTCTTAAAGCATTACAGCTTCTGCATTAATGCTACAGTTATTTACCTTGTTACATTTATATATATTGCTTGTTTCATTTCATACATTGTTGTACAATAACGGTTTCATGCTAAAACTTAAGATATAATTTCAACAAACCAATTCTAAACAGTTAGATAACACCATTACATTAATATTTATACTTCACAATCAACTGATAAAAAATTACTTTTGAACTCTTGAGTGGAATTATGTAACATTACAACTCTTAACATCAATATTACTCAAACTTACTAGCCTAGTTTTATATGTATAAATGGGCAACTGTGAGAGGTGAATGTCCTATTGTTGGCTACTTTATTTTGACCTGTCCTAAACAAATTAGATATGTTGGCTTTTTTACTTCAACCTACATATTTAAGGAAGAACACCTTGCATTTTCCAACTTAAAATCAAGAACTGATAATGTGATAAAATCTGCCAGTGTCTGGAAACGTATATACAACTTGGCATACAAGCAGTACTGTAGTGTTAAATAAAGAAGTGCTGGAACACATTTAACCACGTAAGGTGGGATTTGTTCACAATAATGGTGGTACAGAATTCTGGCTAAACAAAATAAAAGTACAGGTACACCATACACACGCATTCCCACCCACTACACCTCTGCATACAAGTCTGAGTAGCTATCAGTGTTCAGAGTTGTAATTATATATAGACACACACACACAAACGTCTTTTTATTTCATTATTTGCATTTGTAAAAGTAACTTAATAAACTGAAATTTGAGAATAATTCCTTGAAAATTGAAAAGTTTCTAATTCAATATGTAAGAACAACCTATCTTTGGATAACCATTTCACTAATAAAATAGTCTTCACAATATATCAAACAAAGTCTCTCTTCATTCGATCAAGATGAAATTTTACTTACAAATTTCTTTTTCAATATATCCTTTTATCACCAGCACCCCCACCCCTCGTAGAAAAGAATAACATTGATTGATGTAGAATAAAAAATGTTTGACAATGACCAAATTGATTAATAGCTTTAACAACTGCTTGACATAAAATGACTGACAAAAAATAGTTACTATTCATCTTACTCTTTAGGTAATTATTTTTTACTAGTTTTGGAGCAAGAATACTGTAATATGTGGCTCATACGGCATATAAAAACATCATGAAATCCTGGGTAGGCTAGTAAGATCACTACTAGAAATAATGGTTGTGACTGAATGGGTTAGAGTACATGTTACAAATCACAGTTTAGTTATAAAAAACAAAATATTGTCTGCCACGTTTCTACTTGTGTTAGTTTTGTAAGCTCGTCAACAAATATTTACTTTTCCCATTCAACTGTAAGCATAATAAACTCCAAAGGCCACAGGAATTATCTTGACCACAATGATTCACTACAGAAGTAACTGTCACAGCCACCTTTGATCTTTAATGTCTTCCATGTTCTTTATCTTGCAGACATAGGCCACTTTGTGACTTTGTAATATTTATTCTACCCTGTCATTATATTTTTTATTTAGCCTAAACATGAGCAAGTCACCTAGTGTCACTTAGCTGAGGGATAAATGAACTATTCCTGGAAAAGGGAGATGAGCTGTTGTGTGAAGCAAGCAATGTTTTTTCAAAGTCTTCAAGCAATTTAATTAAACTTTTTCTTTTGAACCTTCCTGCTTCATGAATCACCTCACGAACCATGAACAGTTTAGTTGGCATACCTACATTGAAGTTATTCAAATGACTAAAGACACCACTGAAATCTGAAAAAAAAAATCAAAACACATTTAAATATTACATTCAACAAATAAAAAAATAAGTTTATCTCAAACCTCTTGTATGAACATAAACTTAATATTTTTGATTACTTTTGTAATTTCAAACTTTAACTGGTTTCCAACAGACTTTTAAACTTAATAAAAAGATTATATATGTAATTTAATCAACATAATAGAACAATATACAAAATAAATTTCATAAATATGGACAACAAATTAAATAATTAAGGTTATATAAATATTTAGAATTCTTAGAGTTACAGACCTTTACCTTTATTCATTAGAATCATCAATTTTCTTCAGATTCATGGTTTAGGATTGTTATCCGTTTTGCAATTTTCATTTATCTAAAATTAACATTCATTTATATTTTCAATAACAAATTTGTACCTCTTCCAGGTTTTCTAACTTCTTTGAACAACTTAGCTCTTAACACAGAATTTTTCTCAGCAGTTCTGGCATAATAGTAGTTATGAACAGCCCCATTCCTTTGGGTTACTGGAATCTCTTCATCTTCTTGAATACTCATTACATCGATATGATTTGTAACATAGTTTCTCACTGATGTTGGTGACTCTTGTGAGACATCTACTTCTTCATCTACCAATGCTTTAGTAAATGAAAAAATAAGATTTACATAGAGAAACCAAAAATAATTTTTTTATTATTTATACAGATCTCAAAATGGCTAATGACCCCCATAAATGCTGAGACAGAAAAACGTTGGAACTTAAAAGTCATACTTGCTGGAACCAAAATGATGAAACTGTATACACTTGAATAATGACACAAAGAAATTTTCTTCAAAGACCTCCCCCAATTGAAAAAAAAAAGTATAAAAACAAAAGATAAGTAGCCCCAAGAATTTATCTACTTTGAACTAGGAAGTTACTGCACATTTCACCTCTGTTTAAATAACTGACTTTTGTCAAAGACACTTCTTTTCAAAAACTGACTCAACAAAATGGGTGTAAAAAATTTGCATCTGTTGGTCTATTACTACCACAAAACATTTTTGGAAGTATGTGTATGTCAATTAACTATTTATATTTTGAAGTTTAATGAATTTCACTTAACAGAAATATCAAAAAGTATCTAATAATACACATCTGAACATCAGTTTTTCTTGCAAAAATTTTCAATATTTTTTTTCCCTCTAATATGAATATACTTCTTTATCATCATGATACATGTTAATAATTCAGAACTGGATGCCATAGCAAGAAAGAAAATCAAAACCTGGCAGACACAGCCTCCATTAGGCTAATAGTAAGTCTGGAAATTCCTTGTCATACTTATTCTTCAAGAAGCTGAGTTTATTTCTTCTTTATCTATCTTAACATTATTTATACAATTACAAAACTTTTCTGTAACAACATCTTTAACTGTTAAAAAATAGTGTAGCCCTGGAAAGATGTGCTATACTTGGCCACCTGAGAGTTCTCCTAGTAAAGCAGGGAGTAAAAAAAAAAGAAAATTCTTATACTAGAATTGATCAAGATTAAAATATTGTTTCAGAAATGTAAATAAGTCTCTATGTATTAGTGCTTACATGGGGAGGGATAATGATTTACACTAACAAGCAGCATTTAGATGTTTACATGACGGGGTTATAATTTTTTTTTTTTTTCAAATAAACTATCTTAATTATTACATTAAAGACATTCTAAGTACTAATATTTTGAGCTGAACTATAAAAACAAAACACAAACATCATAAAAGAATTACATTTGAAATAATTTGATCTAACCAGCAAAATCATAAATTGATGGTTATCTATAGGAATTTGCCAAATAATTTTACATTCATCAAAAAAACAAACTATTAACCCTTTTTATACAAAAGGGGGTGTCACTGATATCCCTTGATTTCTTCCTTCTCACAGTAGAAATATTTGATTAAATTTCATGAAATTGAGAACAAATTTACTAAATAGCATCTAGTTACAGCTTTAAAAAAATTCATATAATTTGATTGCATTCTTCTATCCTTTTTATACATTGTGAAATTTCCAAATCTAACGTCTTTTCAATAAACTGTAAGTATTTTTATTTATGTACATAGTGTGAATATGATAAACTTAAAAAACATTGAATAAATATTTGAGTAATTGGAATATTTTGACATTACCTACCATATTATCTAAACCTAACTAGGCTAAAGTGACATCTTGTCCCACAATTACATTTCTGTAGTTTTCATAAAATTATAATTTAACATAAATACATTTTTGAGGATGAAAAGAAACTATAAAGAAATTTCCAGATCTTCGCAAATTTCATTGTTCTCTACAAGAATTAGGTCTTGCCACTTTCCCATAAAACCATTATATCTCACACCAATTTATTCACTCTAAACTCATATAAATAGTTTATAACCTATTCCTTCCAATAATACTTCACCTTTGCCTGTAGCTATTTTCAAAGTTGTTCAAATCGCATACTATAAATTTATAAAAGAAAAGTAATTCTTTGGAAATTATAGTTTCAAAGCAAACATAAACTTATGGTTTAGTCCAGAAGAGTTATTAAAATATTTACTTCATTTCAAATCTTCCTGATTACAGGCTAAAAAATTAACATGAACCAACTTTGACACCAGTAAATATGGTGATCTTATGAATGTCAAATTTTGTGTGGGTCATTGTAGTCTTAAAAAGCTACAATATAGTGCACATAAAGGGTTATGATTATAATTTAAAGTATATAT